TGTGAGGCGGCTTACTCGGCTGGCAGTGTTGAGCAGAAGCCCACCGGTCAAGCACAGAGCAGACGCTCAGTACGCCAGCACATCGCACCATCGCCTCACATAGCTTCAGCCAAGTAACTGGAAGCACAGAAAACCTCCTGACATGCACATGAGTGACTCCCAAGGTCTGCCACAGGTAGGGGCACATGGCTTCTCTGTGAAAAGTCACATCAGTAGGGCAGTCAAGACTGGCAGTGATAGGACTGAAGGGCTGGCTACGTGGTCAAGAGAGGTGGCTGCTCTTCCAGAGGGCCCAGGTTCAATTCCCAGCACCCACATGGCAGCTCACAGCTGTTTCTACCTCCAGTTCTAGGGGATCTGACACCCTCACACAGACACACACACAGGCAAAACACCAACGCACATAAACTAATTATTAAAATAAACGGCAGTGAATATGGTTGTTCAAAAGTTGCATCACTCACATGTGAAAACCCAAGGTTTTAAAATGTACTCAGAACAAATTCGAAACTCATTGACAGCCTTTAGAGAATACTGGGAAACCAACATTGAAAAAAGAAAACAGTAAACAAGAGAAAGAATGAAATATGTGCTCTTTCCTATGCAACTTGGGTTTCTGGGAAACCAAGCAACTGATGAGACAGATTATCCTAGAATTGAGTCAAATCAATGAAGAACTAATTCCCACTTCTTAATTAAAAAAAAAAAATACAACAATGATCCTCATTAGGCCCTGAATAGAAAATATATCCCACTGCACATTTGGTACTCTTGTCAAAACATCTAAACCTGTGGCTGATCAAGATTCTTTGCCAATGCTGAGTTTGAATATACAGGAGACAGAAGTATATTTAAATAGCCAGAACTCAGACTAGCAGTCTAAAGATGGCTGACTTGGCATTTTCAACAGATAATGGCAAGGCTAAAAAAAAAAAAAAAAAAAAAAAAAGGTCTATAAACCTGGAAATTAAGAGTCAGACAGTGTATAGGTTTGTATTATAATTTGAACAAACAAATGGTAATATAAAGTTTATAAGACAGTCTAGGAAATTTGAACAGCCTAGAAGTTTAATGACATTAAGGAGTTATGATAATTAACTATTATTATTTTTTGGTATTGAGGCTTGAACCTAAGGCCCTATACATACTAAGCATGTGCTCTACCACTGAGCCACACCCCCAAATTATTTTAAGGTATATTGGTTTTGTTTCAGAAAGGGGGCACTTTTATATTTTAAAGCAATATATTAAAACATTTCTAATGAAACTGTATGACAGCTAGGATTTCCTTTAAGGTAACCTGAGGTTTCAAGTGGTAGGGAATAGGAAATGCAGGTGAAGACGATTAACTCTTGAAGTCCCAAACACATATCACCAAATTTCATGACACTATTATAATTCTGTTTACTTAAATTTTTCTAAAATAAAAAGTGAAAAATTAAACTATGTCAACAGTCCAATTCCCTCCAAAATTTCAATCTGCATGAGTTGACAGATGGAGAATTAACACTGTGCAGAGAGACCAGGGGGGTTCTTGCTCTAGGAGAAAGCAGACATGTTCTCCATGCACAAGCAAGGAGCCTGGGCACAAAACATAGGTTTCTGTTTGGCCAGTGAAAGCCAATCTCGAAAAGCAACATAGGTGGGGTTGAGGGGTGGGATGACCCAGTGGGCAGTCGGAGTCTCTCTGTGGGGTCTTCTCAGGGTGCTGAACAATGGGAGACACTCAGGATTGAAGATTTTGCCAACCTCAGACTAAAGATCATGATTGAAAGAGGGGATCTGGGGAGCCTCAGGACTTAGTACCTGCAACGTAAAAATGACACGGAAGAAGGACTGACAGAATGTGTCATATCACTGCAAGTTAAGGATGAAGAGAGACGCCCAGGCAATGAGGGCATGGAGGTCCGCCTGCAGGGAGGGGTCAGGGAGCTGGAGCCCCTTCAGGGGACGGAGATTGGGAAAAGTCTACCTGTGAGCAAAAAGTACACAGGACACCTCTGTAATGTTCTCTTGGTGTTTAGTTCAAAGAGGATAATGGGAAAAATACTTGTTCTTTTGATGTTTATAAATCAAAGCCTAAATCCTACGCCAAAACAATTTAACATCTGCACCCTTTTTTCTTGATATTAGTTTTGAAATCTGAAAATGTGAAAAATAGTAGAAAATATAAAAACAGCTTAGCAATCACACTGAATTATTTCCTTTTTAAAAAATGCTTTAAAATACTTAGAAATATAAATGACATGGGCATATTTTTTTCCTTATAACCTACATGGAAAAGAACTCAGAAGCAATCCTCACAAGCCTTTGATAACAAAAGCTAAAAAGACATCAGTGATATGTAACAGAGTCAGCCTTGGAAAGTGGGAAATAAAACAAACAAACAAACAAAAAACACTTGAAAAATTTAGTTAAGTACTTTATGCAAATTTGTTACTAATAATGATGTAAAAGCCAAGTGTAAACATGTCCAAATAAAACTGTTAGGGAGGGATTCAAAGAGAACTAGAAACTGACTTTTTGACAAGATAAGCTCAGTATCAGTTATTTATGTCATTCTAATCCCCACCTTTAGATCCAGTACAGTGTATCATAAAATGTTACAGTTGGAGGTATGAAAACTTGACCATCATAATAATTCCAGAAATAGTCAGAGGGCTAGAAATGATGACAATGTTTCTAGAAGCTGGGAAAGAGATGTTTCAGAATAAGAAAGGGTCCCACGGTCTTCAGGAAGGGACAACAGAATCAACACAATGCATGGAAGAAAACTTAAAAGCCTAAACAGAGATCACCTGAGGCAGTCATGTTTGTCACAGGTCTGTTTGAACCCTGCCTTCACATTTTATCTTCCTAAGGTCTCTCTCCCTTTACATTAGTGCAGAGATGGTGACTCCCGCTAAGCTAGTGTCCTCTTATGATTGCTCAGTTTGATTTATAACAAACGGTCCATGCGGACAGGGACCAAGACGGCTATTTTTTTCATCAGTAACGATGTCTGAGGACTCCCCAGACTGGACTCTGGAGAATCAGGGCTGCTTTCTGCTTGGACTCACCGTCTTTGGCTAGAATAAGCATTCGTGTCTGTGTAGGGGTCCGGGTGTGCCACACTGCAATCCTGGAAACTCCAGAAGGAGGGAGAAAGGACTTCAAAGGTTGATGAGATAAGCGAAAAGGTTTTCTGCTAGAAACCAACTAAAAGGGGAGCAGGACTCCCAAAGTTTTCTATCTTTAAAAAAGTTGTCTCTCAAAAAAAGTTACCCATGCTAAACGAACAAACGAAAGAGCTGTAGTAAAATACGATAAGGGACGGTGCAAAGCGAGTACTGACTTCCTAACCCTTGGTTTTAAGACAGCAGAAGCAGAGGGGTCTCGGTTCTGAGAATCTGGGAAATTACCATATATCTAGTTTCTTTCTAACCAGACTGTTTCCAACAAAAGTAACTACCGCACTCTAAATGACATCTGTAGTGGAGAAAATTCACCCCGAGGTGAAGCACACTCCTCCTGCAAGTAATTTACCTTGCAAGCCTTCAGGGCAACTCCTTTTAATGGCCACCGTCAAAATAACTTACAAAGCCATATACAGAAGCTCAAAGACATTTCTGGCCCCTCATACTGCAGTTTAATCTTACTAACAAACCAAACTTTTAAAATGTTCCCTCATTCAGTTACTTCCTGGCATTCAGAAATGACAAGTGTGCGCTTAAGAGACAATTCTTTGCTCTATGGGGAAGCCTAGGCAGCTTTCTCACCACAGGACCGGGTCCTCTTTCTAAGCTGGTGAACTGAGGTCTAAAATGTGGGCAAGGGCCTGGGATATAGGCCTAACTTCTTCAAGAAAAAAGGTCATACAAACCAAACCATCCTCTGTATAAATCTTATATTCCTACGGCAACGGCTTTCGGTGGCCACGTTAAGATTTCTTACAACCTAGGCGCACATATCACTGGGACAAGTCCTAGGAGACACTCCTGGGCAGACTATTTGAACTAGTAACCACTTTCTCTCTGACGGACAGAGCTCCCTGAAATCTGACCAGTCTGAATGGGTGGAGGTGATAGTGCAAATTAAATCATGCAGCTGTCTGAACCCAGTCTGAGTTCTCGGACTCTGAGCAGCTCAAACGCTGAGTGGAGACTCCATCTCACTGTGTGGGCATTCAACTACAACAGAGCACAGCAGGTACCAAAACTAAAGTTTGTGAACTCATTAGGTAATAAATGAAATAATGGCTCATCATATTTTTTTTTAACTGTCTGAAAGTATTCTAAAAAGAACAGTTGTTAAAATTCCTCACAGGAAGAGAGGCAGCTGTCTGTATATATTTTAAAGCAAAAAAAATAAAAAAAAAAAAAAAAAAAAAAAATCCAGCACAAATTATAACGGTTGAAGTAATGGGCAAAATTTCACTTTGACGGATACAATTTCAATAAAGGCCTAATAATATGCACCAACCAATTCCAGAAGGGGCAAATGAGAAAGTTGTATGTTTCAGGACTCAACAAAAGTTTTAATGTACAAACACCAATTTGTAAAACTCAACCTCTGCTAGAGCTGATGAAATCCCATCAAATTTAATAAGCATAGTGAAAGCAAGGAAGGAAAGGACCCCGAAAAAGAAAGGGGAAAAAAATGCTGTTTTTCAGTTTCCTTACACTGTCACAACGAAATCTTGTTGCTTTAATAAGAATCTACTCTAAGTGTTGATACATCTGTTCTGTGTTTCCATGCAGTAACACTTCTACACACACACACACACACACACACACCCTCTGACAGGGATTCCCAGGACACCAGTGGGGCCTCTTCCAAGCCCCTTAAGTGTTAACAGAGGCCTGGCTGTGACCAGGCGTCTGGCCCTCATCTTCAGAGGTCTGCGGTGAGCCTAAGCCATAAAACTAGGGGACATTACGGAACCCCGGAGTGTCTGATCTTTCCCCTGCAACACACACCACTTCGCTCAATTAAGGCTGCTGGTTGGCATTCCATTTAACTGTCAAACTCGGGCCGGTGGCAGCCCCGCAGCCACAAAGAGATGCCTTAAACGAGAAGAACATGTTTCTACACCGCATTTGAGAAAGTTTGGCTCCGAGCTATGCACTGATTGATATCAGATCTCTCTCACTCGCCTCTCCAATCTTGTCACATCTGGCTGACAAATCCCCAGGAGCTTATCCGAAGTCAGGAGGCCGGTAGGGTTAAGGGGGTCCCCGGGGAAGAAGCGCCAGAGGACAGCGGGCACCCTTAAGAGCGGAGCTGGGGCACGCTCGGCGGGAACCCCGCTGCCAGGGGGACATTGGCTGCGCCTGGATGTTCCCCCCCCCCCCACCAGCCACTAAGCACCTCATCACCGCATTCCCAGGGTTCTAGGGAAGACCATCCCCAAAGAGACCGGACCTTGGCTCTAGCTTCCCCATCAGCATCCCGATGTGCTCCTCCAAGTCCCTGCGCCTCAGGGGGACACGAACCCCTCACCGTCCCACGCGCGACAAGCCAGCCGGAACGCCGGCAAATCACCTCAAGCCTTCAGTGCCGCTTTCTCTGCAAGAGTCCCCTTTTAGGCACGTCTAAGCTGACGGTCTGCGGCGCTCTGGTCTCTGTGCCCCCCCCCCCTTTTTTTTTTAAATCAGTATTTGTCCCTCAGGGGACCGGCGCTCCCTCCAAACGCCCCTCGGGTCTCCGCGACCCTCCTCCCGGAACGAGCAAAGGTCGCGGCTTGAAAGAACCACCGGACCGACGTCCGTGCGCCCACAGCGGCCGAACAGGGCTTCCCGGGGTTAAGAGGAGACGGGGTGCCGCTCGCAGGTCAACCTCGCCGTGACTCGGGCGCAGGCGGAAGGGACGCGCCCGGCCCGGCGAGCAGGTGGCCCTCCTCGGGCGGCCCCCACCCCCCACCCCGGGCTGGCTTACCTCGGCCATCCTGCGGCCGCTGCGAGGCCCGTCTCCCCGGCGCGCGTCCCCCGCCCGGGCCGCTCCGCGTCCGCCCCGGCTCGGCGACCGCCGCATCCACGCTCCGGCCGTCCGGGCTCCTTCCTGCGCACGAGTGGGCGGCTCCCCGCGGCGCCCGCCGGCCGCGCCGGCCCCCTGCGCCCCTCGTGCGCACTCGCGTCGCCCCCGCGCCCC